ATGCTTGTTCTCTTTTAAACTGTTTCATCTATTGTTACTCTTTAGCATGTATGCTTAGTTGATTTTTTTTCATTTCCTTCAAATTTTATGTAACAATTTGCTGTTAGCATCAATAAGATGCAGTGTAAGCTGCTGCAAATAGAACATACGCTGCCTCTGAGATAAAGAGTTTTCTGTTGATGAAATGCATTCCAATATAAGCGATGAAATTTAATTATATGGAATTCCAAATGTGTGCTGTAGTATTTCAGTCAGTATGATTATTAATAGAATTAATGCTGCTGAGCAAAATTGCCAGACTCAGAACACTGGTAGAAAGAAACTAAAAGCTTACCATTTTATTTTAAAGTTTTGTTGTTCATTTTCTTCCCTTTTTACCTCTTTTTCTTCTAGTCAGACACAGAGTTTTGGGATAAAATGCAAGCAGAATGGGAAGAAATGGCTCGCAGAAACTGGATTTCAGAGAACCAGGAAGCACCAGGGCAAGTCACCATCTCAACCATTGAGAAGGTAACACAAAGTTTTTTTAATACAGTACATCCTTCCTGTGAAACTTTGACATGAGCCTCGGCTATTCAGGGGGACCCAAGAAAATTCTTTTGACATGGAAGCTAATTTTACCCAAAAGAGCTCATCCTCTTTAGGTCTCTGTGAGCGGGGTAGATTTAAAAGACCTTACCATAGTGAGAATACATTTAGACTTGCACACAGCCTGAATTCAGCTGAAAGGATCACGAAGCAAACTGCTGGATTATGGGCACTTTTGAAGATGGGCACTTAAGGAAAAGCACCAAATATAAAAATCTGGGCTGGCACATTTGAACACTGTTGAGGATAGAAATGATAGAGATTCTGTCTCTCTTCTTCATTCCCTCCATTGTATGTTTTAATTTCATTTATATTACGTGGCTGATATTAGCACACACCCTTTACACTGCAGTGGCAAGAAGAGAAAAAGGCAAAATTTAAAGAAATCCTAAAATAAACTCAGGTGCTTGCAACACTGTTCTGTATCTTGAAGGTTAACTGAAGATTTCAGGGTATTAACTGAACAGACATCAGGTTACAAGCACTGCAGGGAGTCAACTGCTTGATGTGTGCTCTTTACCATCAAATTGGATATACTGGGCTCATGCTAGGTTCAGTTCTGCTTTTACTGCAGTTAGTGTGAGTTGTTGACATTATCTTTGATGGGAGCAGGAGAGTCCAACATGAGTACCAGTTAGTATAACTTCAGTGCTAAAGTAAAAATAAAGAGAGCAGGAACGTCAATGTCCAGTGATGCTGACTTTTTACACTTTTTGTCATTGAAATTTCATGGGGGAGCTCATACCGTTTTTACAGAACAAAGGATGTTTACATCCAGTTGGAAAATAGTGAGTCACTTAATTTTATAGAGTTGCCATTCCTTGCTTACAGTGCTTCATCATGGGTCCGCTATCTCTCTACTCCAGGGTTATTATTTCCATACTGAGAATCCTTTCAAAGACTGGCCTGGTGCTTTTGAGGAAGGACTGAAAAAAATGAAAGAAGGTGACCTGCCAGTTACAATCTTATACCTGGAGGCTGCTATTCTACAGGAACCCAATGATGCAGAGGTATTCACTCATGTGCCTTTTACTGATAAAGGAAAAGGGGACTCCCTTTAGCATGTGATGATGGAAATGATTTTGGGGCCCAAACCTTTGCTAGTCATGACTGACTGAAACAGACTGAATGCTAACGGTGGTTTTGAAATAGTGTATACCTTGAAATAGGTACAGGTGAGCTCTTCGTAAGATGAGAATCCATTTTTGAAATTATAGAATTTGCAAGCTGTCATTTAAAAGCATTCAAAAGAGACAATATTTCAAACCTTTCCTTCTTTTCCTGATGTTTTCAAACTATCTTTTAAACACTGCTATTGAAAAGGTGAACATTTTTGATTTAACAAGAATTTTGACAAATTTTTAAAAGTTATACCAATTTCTGCAATATTGATGTTTTCAATGAGTATATATTTAAAGTCTATTTTCCGTGAAACATGAAAAATATTTACAGTGTAAGTATCTAGGTCTCTTTGAATCTATTGCTACATTAAATTAAGCAGCAGTATTTTAAAAAGCAGAGAGAATTTCCAGACTCTCTAGAATCCTTTAAAGCTCTACAATTTAATAATTGTTCTTTACCGTTCTCCATAAAATTCTAGCAACATTTAAAATGTACAGTAACTCAAATTTAAGAAATCAGCATGTGATCATACACTGACAGAATACCTTTGCGTTCATTGATTATAAATATTGTCAGGCCCAAAGATATTCAAAACTGCATTGATTTGTATTGTTGGTACACATGCCGTAGAAAAATCTGTAGTTAGTGCTGGACAGATCTGCTATTTTTATTCACCCCACTGCTTAACAGTGATATTAGTTGTAACTCTGCTTGCAGTTGGGTATATATAACAAAATAACACGACGATGATTATTTTTGCAGGCCTGGCAGTTCCTGGGCATAACACAGGCAGAGAATGAAAATGAGCAGGCAGCCATTGTCGCCCTCCAAAGGTAGATGAAGATAATTGCTAAATAAGGGGTCTGATGAATATTAGGTAATGGAGGCCTAGGTATATTTATCATCATACTTACCTTGTAACATGAAGCATTTATTTAACTAAGTAAAGCATTGACATAGATACAGAAATCTTCCTAGTGACTTCAGAAGAATGACTAGTGATTAATATTTCTGTTTTATTAAATAAGTGCAATATTTAATCTAGTAATTTAAGTAGTTGCACAAAAGAAAAGTTACATGGCCTGATAAACATGAATTAGGCATAATGCAAATAAAGTGCCTTTTTGATATTCTAGCCACTTGGCATATTTTCTGTAGTCCGTCCTTTAATGAAGAGGTTTTCTTAATTGGAATGAGCTCTGTTCAGCTGCTGAATACTAAACTGACAACATTTTTAGGTTGATAGAGATGTGAAGATCATGGTACGCTTGTATGTAAAATGTCAGTTCCAAAATATCAGCATTAGTATTATCTTTCTGTAGTGGGTTTTCATGTTTCCATTTGAAGCAAGTACCGCATTAGTGATGTTAACCATCAAGTCATTTCACCTAAGGATACTCTAACTTTTTTATATGTAACTTATTAGCTTACCTGGATAGAAATCCAAGGGGTTGCCTGATTTAGGGCTTGCTCATCCCCGCAGTTTTGAAACAAGCAACAGTGATGTTCACAAAATAGACTAGATTCTGTTTTCAGTTGATGGTATATAACCCTAGAAAGACTACTTGAGTTGATTGGCTCTAGCTTTATCAAAGGAAAACTGAGAATTCCAGATGATTGAGAAGATTCACAGGGATGGAAGAAATTTTATCTTCAAAATACTTTTTTGTATAGCTGCAAACCATATTAAACTGTTTGCTTGAATTTACATGAAGCTTCTCTTTGTTTACCAGACAGATACTATAAAAATGAATCTACCTACATTTATTCATAACCAGAAGAATGAAAACAAAACTTGTATGCATACGTTTATGTACATATGTGTGTATGCAATGTGCATGCATATATCTGTGTATACATATGCATAATGCACTTATCACAGAAAAATAGGACAAAGTCCCTTCTCTAAAAGTATTATTGGGTAGATCTTACTTGTATGAGTGATTTTTTTACACAGATTATTTTGGAAGAATTCAAGAATTGCGTTTGGCTAAAAAAACCCCTCAATATATTTTTATTTTCTGCCTAGGTGCTTGGAACTACAGCCAAACAACCTAAAAGCTCTGATGGCCCTGGCTGTAAGTTATACTAACACTGGCCATCAACAAGAAGCCTACCAAGCTCTAAGAAACTGGATAAAGCAAAATCCCAAATATAAGTATATAGCTAAAAGCAAAAAAGGGTCCCCAGCACTTACCAGGAGAACGTCTAAGACATCAGTTGAAAGGTAAATGCAGTGTAAATCCTGGTGGTGGAAATTTTAACGACATCACTAAAAACGATGGTGCATGCTGTGCCCCCTTACTCTGTAGAAGTCCAGCCTGTTCCCTATGGTGGAAGACTGAATGTCTCTAGTGGCAGGAGTGGGAAGCCAACACAGGACATTTGGTTTAGCGACTGAAAGCTGTATATCTTATGCCGTCCCTGGAAGTTAAAAAAACCCCAAACAAAACAGCTAAGAAGAGATGCTTCCCCTCAACTCCCATCACTTTCCTTTGACCTTGTCTGCTGCCTCTGTATTCCCACATCCTGCATCCTCATTCTTCAGCTGCTTCCAAATCCATACCAGGCCTGTATCCTGCTCTACACGTGTATGTTCTTCCTACTCTTCATCACATTTCCTACATCCCAGCCAAGCCACTAGAATCCAGGCATGATAGCCATTTTGCAGTAGGACATGGCTTCAGTTCACTGAAAATACTGGGAGGTAGCATCTGCTTATTTAAAAGGTTATCTCTGGTTCTAACCAGAGACAGTGTAGTCATTTTATCTGACTTCAGCCTTGCATACTGTAATGGGAGCTGGCAGGCATTTTAAATAACAAAAAAATTCATGAGTTGGCAGCCCTTCGTCATGATTTCATGAGGTCGATAAATAAGTATCTCTGAATTGCGAGATGCATGATAAAGTCATTAAAGGCATAAACATGATTTATAGAACTAAAACACTAGGGCTATCTCACTGCTTGTCATTTTGAAGACAGGCCTTATGTTATATCCTTATCACTAACAAGCCCTGGGTTGACAAGATAATTTAGTATAAGCAAAAATAAAATATGCAAGTTCTGCTTAATTGCTAAGTGTGTTATTCTACTTTGGCCTCATCCGGCTGACATCTGGTGTTGTCAGTGCAAAGGTTTTATGAAGCCTACAGTGGGTACAGAAGTCTTAAATTTTGGCATCTTTCTTCAGGGGTCTTGGCTAGTCACTTGACCTATTCCTCTTAAGAATGACTACTATTTTTGCCAGTAAAGAACTCTTTAACGTCTGAGAAACTCATCCAATTCTAATACTTTTAATAAGCCTTCATGTTATCTCACTTGGGTTCATAGCTGCACTTTGACTTCATAGAGTAGTAATCATAGAATCATTTAGGTTGGAAAAAGACCTTTAAGATCATCGAGTCCACCTGTTAACCTAGCACTGCCAAGTCCACCACTAAACCATGTCCCTAAGCACCACATCTACTCGTCTTTTAAATACCTCCAGGGATGGTGACTCCACCACTTCCCTGGGCAGCCTGTTCCAACACTTGACAACCCTTTGGGTGAAGAGATTTTTCCCTAATATCCAATCTAAACCTCCCCTGGCACAACTTGAGGCCATTTCATCTTGTCGTATTGCTAGTTACTTGGGAGAAGAGACTGACACCCACCTCACTACAACCTCCTTTCAGGTAGTTGTAGAGTGCGATGAGGTCTTCCCTCAGCCTCCTTTTCTCCAGGCTAAACAACCCCCGTTCCCTCAGCCGCTCCTCATAAGACTTGTTCTCTTCATTATATAGGTGAACTTTTTTATTCCAGACATGAGTTTACAACAGCACCTGGAAGTAAATCTTTGCCATGATGAAGTTGAAGAAGCTTATTTTCAAATTTTAGGAGTATATCACTTCTGATACGTCCACTGCAAGGATTTTATTTTCTGGCTATGCAATCAATACTGCAATACTTGTAAAGAAGTGTGAGATGGAACTTCTAAGTTATTTTTCACCCTTGTCTAGCTCATTACTTGAAGAAGTAAAGGATTTGTACCTGGAGGCTGCTCACCAGAATGGTGATATGATAGACCCTGACTTGCAGACGGGACTTGGAGTTCTTTTCCACCTGAATGGAGAATTTAACAGAGCAATAGATGCATTTAGTGCTGCTTTAACGGTTCGGCCAGAGGTACATTTTATGCTTTTATATTTTTAAGAATTTAGCTTTATGGGCCATTTTCTTTTTTCCCTCTTGATCAGGCTAATATTAATGAGATGTCACTTCAGCCATTAATATTTCAATACCTGAAATAGAAATGTTAATTACAAGACAGTCCCATTTAGAAGCAGATTTATACATGTCCAATTTCTAGCTGTGTGCTGATTAATAGTACTAGTTCTATAAAGTTGCCTGTAATCATGAGTCAGAACCTCACATTCTGTGTCAATTAAGAGAAGATACAATACTGTTATTTCCTGCAGTCCTCTCTACTTTGCAAGCAAAAATGAGCTATTCTGTCCCTTTTTGACACCTACAGTAGAAAACTCATTTTCTCACCAGGACTATACATTATGGAACCGTCTTGGAGCAACCTTGGCAAATGGAGATCGAAGCGAAGAAGCTGTCGAGGCCTACACACGTGCTTTAGAAATACAACCTGGCTTCATTAGGTCCAGATACAATTTAGGGATAAGCTGCATAAACCTAGGGGCATACAGGTAAGTCACAAAAATGTGTAAACAAAAAAGTCAGGGAAAAAAACTACCAAGTGAAAATTCATTTTCTAGCTGGAGCTATCTAAGAAAAAAAAAAAAAGCAGAATATAGCTACATAATCTCAGCTATTGTAAAATTTTGTAATTATTTTTTACAAAGTACTAACAAAGCAAGGATACTTTTCTTATATCCACAAATTCTACATAACAGAACTTCTGTCAAAAGAAAATAAATCACTCATCCAGCAAGCTCTTAAGCATTTTTTTTAGCTCTAAGTGCAAGTACTCTTATAATCAGTGGGATTGTTCTCACACTTAAACTTAGTCTTATGCTTAAGAGCTTTTCTAAAAGAAAATAGAAGAGCCTGTCTTCAGAAGGGAAACTTCAGTTACACTGCTTCAAGTAGGTAATGCCATCAAAAACACTTTCAGTACATCCTTCAGGAATCAAGGGTGATATTCCAGGGTCCCAACTGTCATCTTAAGACAGTTAAGATGAAGGGGAGCTACACAGCAATGAAGACAACATCCCCAGATGTATGCATAGACTGAGCTCTGAATTACTACAAGCCACGTCCACTTGTGTAAAGAAAATCAAGCAAGAATAACACAGAGACTGATGAACTGCATTGTAAAATAATATACTTGAGTCTAGCATAGAACTTCAGAAAGTTCTACTCTAGCTGTTAAGCAAATTATATTGCTTGTTTCTTTTTTCTTCTCCCCTACAGAGAGGCTGTCAGCAATTTTCTCACTGCTCTCAGTTTGCAAAGAAAGAGCAGGAATCAACAACAGGTTCCCCATCCTGCTTTATCAGGCAATATTTGGGCAGCACTTCGAATTGCTCTGTCTATGATGGACCAGCCAGAACTATTTCAAGCTGCCAATGTGGGTGATCTAGACATTCTGTTAAGAGCTTTCAATCTAGAGCCGTAATAAAAAGTATCCACAAATTGATTAAATTGTATTAGAAAACAGAGAACTCTTTTATTACTCATCTCAAAATGACCACATTTTCCAAAAGATCATGGCTGTAGATCAGTAGGGGAATTCTCTTGGACATTATTCAAAAAGGAAAAGTTCAAAAGCACAAAATACTGTAAATAAATTCAAACTCAAAGGATTGAAATGAGCTGCCGCTAATCTGACAAAGCCCTGAACTAGATGAAATAGCTGTTTCTGAAGAATCTTCATCCCATGCAAGCTTTATCTCTCTATATATACAAAGCTATACAAAGGAAAATATGTTACGAACAAACCTAGATAATCATTACTGCACATTAGAATGGCAAGCAATGCATCCAAGGAACCTGCTTAGTAGCTCATCGCACTATGCTGACATCACTTTGCCCTACAATGTGGATTCCCTATCCTTTGGTTTCTTTGTTGAAAAGTCTTTTTCAAGGTCCATTTTTAAAATAGCTCTGAAAATAGATGCATGTGAAATGGATGTATTTTGTTTTGAATATATTTATTAGTTGGCAGTCAAGAAAATTTTTGCTTCCAAAGGTACCTTGATTAATTTGGGCCCAATTCTGCAGGCTCATAGAGTTGTAAACCACGTGCAATGTTAAGAGGAACACTATACATAGAGGTCTATCGGATTAGGCCATGTACCTATGGGAAGGCCAAGTACTGCCAGCAGAAGTGATAATTTGCACTAGAATTGTTGCTGTTTAAACCAGCTATCCCTGATCTTGGACAGAGTATGTCTGCTTCAAAGGAGCTCATAGCAGGATCTGCACCTATCTACGTACTTATGCACTTTAATCCTTCTTTTTGTAAAATAGCACTATGCTTTTATTTTAGTTACTAACAACAGAATGTACAGGATAGCCTTGTTGGCATAAAGGACCAAATATCATTTCCTAAAATGTGATGAGAGGGTTTTCAGTATTCTTATGTTTAAAAAATGCAAATACAGTATAAACTGCAATATCTATTAGAAAGATTATTCTATTATGCATCCATCAGGTACTATACACATACATGCATGTGCATGCACATACATGTTGTATGTGAATTATGTCATTTCGGAACATAATAAGCCACATATCTTTATTGCAAATAAAGAAAAGTCTTCATAGGAGTTAATGCCTGCAGACCATGCTCAAGGGAAAATTTTCCCTGAAAAATTGGTCTATATAATGCTTGTAGGATTGAGGCTAAGATTTGATCCTGCTGTTACAGCAAGCAGTAGCAAAAGTCTCAGTGACCTCCATGATAGCAAACTAAATCCTTAGATAACTTCAGTATTTGTAGCTGCTTAAAAATGTATATATATATACACACACTATCTTAATTTTCCCTGATTGGATGAATAGGGAACAGTACTGGGGGCAGTACACTGCCACATGATGAACAGATTGATTTGGCTACAGTCAAACACATTTAGCTCAAGGTGAATGTGTCAATCAAAGACATGAATAGAAATTATTAAGGAGGCAATTTTCAGTTGCTGATATTTTTAATATTTTTCCTAAATAGTGAAAGATAAAAAGTGTAATTAGATGGCTACTGCATTGATCTGTGGTCAGGAATTCAATGTGGAGGATAGCTATTGGAATGTGTTAAAGTGGGACAAATAGCACATATCCTATAAACAGCATTAAAAGAAAAATCCTGCTTGATCAGCTGGACAAAAGAAAAATCCAACTGCACAGATCACAGAGAAAGCAGCTCTGTGGGAATTGGACAGTTTCACCAGTACAAACCTAAAGTTTCTTGCAGCTGTCTGTTATGTTGAGCAACCACTTAAAGGAAAATTCCCTGTAAGACAGTGTAATTGCTGCATCTAATCACCAACTATAGTTTGTTAAATAAAAATAATCCATTCTCATTAAAAAATAAAAGGCTTACCCCTCACTCTCTCCCACTGAATAGAGATGCTGAAACAGCTACAGTAATTTTTTTAATAGTGCTTTATTAATTCATTGCTTTCATATATATTCCTATTTATCTATCAAGTGTTTCATAACTGATTCCTGCAACTTTCTCTAAGGATTGGTTATCAAGGACTGACTGGGAATGTCATTTTAGCTAAGTGGGCTGCTGCATGCGTATCTGCTGACAACAGTTTGCTCTTTTGCTTTGACAGCAATGTGTGATGACAGCTCTTTATTGATAAGGCAGAGCAGAAGGTGCAGTGCAATTGAACCTAGAAAGTGATAAAAGAGAAGGGAGGCAGCTTTGAGAAGAGGCTGTAAAGCAAAGGCATATGTGCTTAGATTTTGCTTGATGCCCTGCCATCACACAAGTTCTTCTGTGTGGTGTAGGATAATCAGTGCTTTTCCAGAGGAATTAGCTGCTCAGGAGCTTCGTTGTTATACCTTTCAAATAAAAAAAACCCTTAACTGCTTGACTTGTCAGAGTCAGAATATGGGGCATTTGATACTGATGGCAGTTCACCAAACCTCTTCTCCTCTAGCATGTGGATGAGTAACACAGCAATTCTGTTAGGAAAACCTAATGCAACCCCTAGCTTCCCCAAAAAGAACAAAGTAGGTAGCTTTTGATTTATCCTGGGATGCACTGCTCAAAACTGCATTTATCTGCCGATACATGTCCACACCCATGTGACTGGTACGAGGAAAGTTGTCTGTGTAAACCTAGAGACAAATCTCTGGGGCTGAACTCTGCCTCCCAAGGGGATACTCAGGCCCCCAGTCATCACAAGCACTGCAGTTCTGCTGTATGGGGGACAGGCTACAAAGTGTATCCAAAGAGATTGTGCACACTCTCAGAGATTATCTCAGCTGTTCTCTACTAACTAGCCTATGGCCAGTTAACCACGTACCACTGACCAAGACACTGCGTGAGGGAAAGACTAAAGCCGATAGAGTTATAGGGGGTGGTGGCACATCTCCTCATACTAGACACCAGTTCTAGCCTGGTCCGTGTGGGAGGGTGGCCGGTGACTGAGCTCACCTCACTCTTAACAGGTCAGGCTCAGCAGCTCTTGGTACTTCTGGGGACTCCTTCAATATCCTGGGCTTTATTGTCCTCCTCTATCCCCCCACTGCCAAGCACTGTCAGTGCAGAAGACAGGATTAGATAGAGCTTTGATCTGACCTCCTCATGGTGTTTCTTAAATATTCAGTGGCAAGCATGTATATTTGCCTGAAACAGCAAGAGGAAACATGTGAGGAGGCTGCAGCATATTAACACCCTGAAGAGGAAATTCATCTACTCATACTTCTAACCAAGCATGAAGTAGGATAAATAAGGCGGCTGCTGAACAGTAGCAGATTGAGCCTGAGAGTGAGAGACAGGAAATCTGGGTCCTGTTCTCAGTGCTCCCTGTGAGCTCGACCAAGTAAAAACCTCCAGTCATCCATGACTTGCCCAGGTGTGCAAGGAAGGAAGATGGGCAAGTAACAGCCATTGCACGTGATGGCACTACATGAGAGCAGGGGAGTGCTGCTGTCTCACAGACTGCATGGGCGAGGTCACCACTTGCGTAAATTGAAAGGTAACACACAGACACAAGGTTGCTCAGGTCTAAGTAAGGAAGCAGTTTTACACAGAGACTAGCAATTTCAGCAGAGGAGAGACCTGGAGACATTTCAGGATTACAACTGCACAGCATCTATGGGATGATGCCAAATTAGAGTGCTGCAATGGTTTATCATCCTCTCCCACCCGTTTCCCCTTCTTGTTACTCCCCTCTTTCTCCAGAGGTGATTTATCACTGCCAGGTAATTGATTCCAAGTTTTTGAGTCTTTCTTCTATTTTATATTCCATGCAATTAAAAAACGCTTTCCTAACGCCAGCTTGTAACTGTCCCTCTCCACTGCAAAGCTTTATAAATAGGTATGACCTGTAAGTCTGATCCATCAAGCTGCTGAACACTGAAAGTCTGTAGTCTTCACAGGAGTGCTCAGCATTTTGCATGATCAGCTCGTGTGCATGTATTCAGTTACCGGACGAGAGCTGGCCTCCGATACCACTGCACATGCTGAACAGGCACTGAAATCAAAGTCATTATTTATGGAGTGAGGCTTTGCGATGAAAGCAATAGGCTCATTCCTTGCTGATCTCTTTAAACTGTAATGACTCTAGAAACCTTGTTGCAATAGACTGGTTTATGTCAGTTTGAAGAATTGATTTGATCTTTAGGTAAACACATATGTATATCTGTATCTAATGGTATTTTCTTATGCTCTGATAAATCACAGCACTTGTAAAAATATTGAGGGAGAGGTTCAAATGACACAAAACCTCACATGACAATATTGCATGCAACTACATTAATAAATAACCACACTGAAATATTAACACAAAGCATGCAGCAATGTTACTTGAGTATATGTTTACAGAATGCACGCAGAAGGCCCACCCATAGGGTATTTTTAAACTATTGAGTGGTGTCTTCTATGGATATTTTAAAAGTACTCTGCATCTGCCAAACTCAAAAATGAGTTGTTCATGTTATTTGGAACAGGTTAGACCTAACGCAGAGCCCTTTTTAAATCCCATCCTTAGAAATCACTTTGTGTTGTGGATTTCATGTTTGCTTCAAGTGTTTAATTAATGACAGACATCTGTAGTAACAGCTTTTGCAGACATGTTTTAGTATCCTCTTAAGAATTAAAAAGCTAAACGTGCGCAGCTTTCACAGTGAAGCTGGGTGTTTGGATTTCCATGTTTTCTTCTCTAGTCTAAACCAGATAGCACGAAACCAGAGAAAAAGATTTCCAGAACCAGTGAAACAACTATTGTCTCTGTCTACACTTACCATGGGTCAGGCTTTTCAAACTTGCCCACTAGCTCTGAAGGCAGCTCAGTGTCTGACTGTCCTGTTTGAAATACGTAGATGTAAAACTTCACAGGATCCGAGTATCTGCTGTATCCACTGATTTCAGCTGCAGACAACTCAGCTGAAAGCTCAGAACATCAAGTTAGGCATGAAGAGCTAATGAGCCAATTTAGAAAACTTGGG